AAGAAAGAAAGAAAGAAGGAAAGAAAGAAAGAAAGAAAATAAGTAACCGAGAAGAAAATAGGGCGTGAGAAGAAAAAATGGAGAGTTGGGTAGTGGTAGTGCACACCTTTAATCCCAGTACTCAGGAGGCAGAGGCAGGCAGATCTCTGTGAGTTTGAGGCTAGCCTGGTCTACAGAGCAAGTTCCAGGACAGCCAGGGCTACAAAGAGAGACTTGTCTCAAAAAACAAAACAAAACAATAAAAGAAAAAGCAACAGAAATGGAGGACAAATTAGCTGGTGCACTCTTTTTAATCTCAAACACTTGGAAAGCAGAGGCAGGCAGATTTTGAAATTTCAGACCAGTCTAATCTACAGAGAGAGTTCCCGGAAACCCTGTTTTGAAAAACCAAATGAAAAGAAAGGAGGGAGGGTAGGAAGGAGGATAAACTAAGAGAAAATGGCCATTTGGACTAAGCATATGGAGGTACAGATGTCCACAGTTTGGGAAAGACAGACCAGAGTTTATGGAGATTGAGAGGAAGCCTGGGGTCAACCTGTTATATTCTCATACCCCAGTTGGCAGCTTCAGGGTTAGAGGAGGGGTCTGCAAACAGATCCTCACATTCCAAGACAGCGTCCCAGAACACTGAAGCCACCAGACTGCTGGGGTCAGAAAATGAGATCTTTTGAAAACGTTTAATCCTCACTGACTGAGTTTAATGAACATTCAGAATCAAGCACAGGGCAAAAAGTCCCTGAGTCATCATGTTGCCTCTGTAGCCCTCAGTCTCTCGCCTTTATCCTGAGAAGGAAAGAGTATTCTGTTTCCTGGTGCTTTCTCTATTGATCGGATGCTACTAACTTGAAAAAGCAAATATTCCCTAGTCACCTCTTGGGCAGAGTCATAAATGTCAGGACACTTGTAGTTAAAAGAAAAAAGCCAATTGTTTGATATGGTGATGCATGACTATGACCCTAGGACTCAAGAGACAGACGCAAGAGGGTACATATGAATTCATGTCAACCTGATCTACATACCAAGCTCCAGGTTAGCTAAGACTATAGAGAGAGACCTGTCTCAAACAAACAAAATGAAGCAAACAAACAAAATGTTTAAAAGAAATCCAGTCTAATCTACCAGTGCTGTTGGCGGTGCTGGAGATGGAGTCCAGGGCTTTATTTGCGCTAAGAAAGTGTTCTACCACTGAGCTGGGCTCCTAACCTCTCACATACAAATTAAAGTTTGTCTCTTGCTTTCCTCAATTTCTCTAGTTTCTTTTCTATGAAACGGACAAATATATCCCCTCCATAAATATTTCATCTTGTTAGAGAAGCGCCATGAGGCCTTTCCTGGCTATAATACCTCTCTCTCTCCTTTCTCTTTCTCTCTCTCTCTCTCTCTCCTCTCTCTCTTCCTCTCCCTCTCCCCCTCTCTCATGTTCATTTGAATGTGTGCATATGTGTGTGTATATATACATATATACATACATATATACACACACACATAAATATATATTTGAAGGTTAGAATTCAGTGTTAGGTATCCTCTTCTACTGTTCTCTACCTTAGTATTTTTTTTTTTGGAGACAGGTTTCTCACTGAACCTGGAGCTCACCAATTGGCTGAACTGGCCACAGAGCAAGTAACAGGGATCCTCCAATCTTTCCATTCCCAAATGATTTCAGACCAGCACCACAGCATCCAGCTTTTTACATGAGGCTGGGGATTCATCTGAGGTCCTCATGCTGTGTGGCAAACACTTTACCAACAGAGAGATTTCCCCTGCCCACTCTCGTTGGCTTAAAAAAAAAGATGCATTTATTTTTATTAATATGTGTGAGGGTTTTGCCTGGGCATATGCATGGGTACCACATGCACGCCTGGTGCCATTGGAAACCTAAAGAGAGCTTTGAATCTCCTGGAACTGGAGTTAACAAATGGTTGTAAGCCATTATGTGGGCGCCACATGCATGCGTGGGGCGGGTGGAGGCCAGAAGAAAGCACTGAATCTCTTGAAACTGGAGTTACAGAGGGTTGTGAGCCATCTTGTAGGTTCTGGGAACTGAACCTGGGTCCTCTGCAAGATCAGCAAGTGATCTTAACCACTGAGTCATCTCTCCAGGCCCTCTTAGTGAATCTTGATGCCTTTCTGGTCTTAGGCATCTGTGGTGGTTTGAAAGAAAATGGCCCCCACAGGCTCATAGGGAGTGATACTATTAGGAGGTGTGGCCTTGCTGAAGGAAGTGTGTCTTGGTAACTTTCTGCTGCATGCTGATCCAGATATAAAACTCTTAGTTACCTGCATGCTGCCATGCTTCCCCCCATGATGATAACAGACTAACCCTCTGAACTGTAAGCCAGCCCCAATTAAATGCTTTCCTTATAAGAGTTGCTATGGTCATGGTGTCTTTTCACAGCAATAGAAACCCTAACTGAGACGGCACCACAAGTACCAACATAAGTATTGGGACAAGGCCTTTAACCGTCATATAACTCCTTGACCTGGGAGGATCACCCTAGCTTGGACATACCAATTGTCCTAAGTTCCCAGTGCCCACAAATAGAATTATATACACATCCAAACTTTGGGGTTCACACCGAGCATCCTCGGCCTTACCTCATTCACTGAGGCAGCAGTGTCTTTCTTTCTGTCCGTACTTTCAGCTCTGAACCCCCAAGTCACGCTATCTCACTCCTGTCCAGGTCTGACGAGCCAGAACCCTGAGTCTCCTGAGTGGCTGGGGGGTACACTTCTGGTGCTGGTGACAGAAAGTAGAAGCGGCCTCCGGCTTTTGTGACAAGCTTTACACAGGCACCCCCCTCTATTGTTTTCGCCTCTGAGGGGAAGGTAGGATGGCAAGGGACCCACTGCTGGACACGGTCCAAGAGCAGAGTCGTGTGAGGAGAATTCTAAGTGTTTGTGAGAAAACCCAAAGCAAACAAGAGTCTGGAGACCTCAGTGTCTTCAAAACACAGAATTGTTCTTGGAATGTGCTCTAGTGCCCCTCCCAGATGTCTCAGACAGGAGTGAGTCCACTTTAGATTATTCATTACAACTGGCTAGTGTTACTTGTTCATATGCCTTTATGGAAAAATACATTTTTGTAACATGTGACTTGTCCTTGTGATTATATACTTTACTCAGGTGACTGTTCTGAATCCTCAGAGGATAAATTGTTTGATGCTCTAAATAAAGTTGGCTATTGCATGAGACTTTAGTCCAGTCTCTGTCATTGTCACTTAGAGGAAGCAAGCCTTTACAAGACAACACATTTAGTGTCCGGTGGGAACTTTTAGCCCTCTGGGTATCTTACATACACTTTCATAGTATGTGCAACTTACAGCAAATGTTACTGTTTCTCTATTACCACGGTGATACTAGGTTACACTTGTTTATTTTTTACAGCGCTAGGGAAGAGATCCTAAGGACTCAGCATGAGTCCTGCCTCCAGCACTTTGAACTTAGTAAATTCATGAATAAGCATAGTGCTTTCAAGCAAAATACAGATTAACGATCGTGCAAATATTTGGTTATGGAAAGAGAGAAGCGGCCCTTTTGCCTCTCTAGTCAGGACAGAGCCCTCAAGGCAACATTGGCGAAGCAGAGAGCAACCCTCAGCAGACACTGAATTTGCCAGCACCACAGTCTTGGTCTTTCCGGAATCTGAAACTAAATAAGTAGAAATAAATGAATAGTCTTTGTATATTTAAAATAATTACAGCCAAAGTGGCAAAAATTAGAAGGAGATAGCATAAGGGACTGGAAAGATGGCTCAGAGGTTGAGAGCATGTGGCATTCTTGACGGAGAACCTGAGTTTGGTTTCTAGCATCCACATGGTAGCTTACAACTCTCCATAATTCCAGTTCCAGGTTCTCCACAGGGGCTAGGCATGTAGGAAGTACACTTATACGTGTGGGGAAAATATTCATACACATAAAAATAATATATAAACTTAAATAACATATAAAATTATATATAACTTATATATTATAATAATACATATAAACTATATATATATATTTTTTTGAAGTAGTATAGTTCATGGGCTTAGAATGCCCTAAGTCCCAGCACAAGAAAGAAGGAAGAAAGGGAGGGAGGAAGGGAGAAAAGGAAAAAAAGAGAGAGGGGTAAAATTAGCTAAGGTAATGCTTGCTTACCAATAAATGCTCATAGCGTGTTGGCTAGTCACTATAGTACTAAGCACTTACTACATACTAGTGAGTTCTTTGTTTTGAGGGTTTTTTTGAGCTGGGTTTCTTTGTGTAGCTCTGGCCAACCTGAAACTCTCTCTGTAGACCTCGAACTCAGAAATCTGCCTGCCTCTGCCTCCCAAATGCTGGGATTAAACGTGTGCACCACCACTGCTCAGCAGATTTTTAATTTTTCTTTTAAAACATTTTATTATTTTGATCTCCACAGCACAAATGTGGAAGTCAGAGAACAACTCCGAGGAGTCAGTTCTCCTCACACGGTGTAGATTCTGGAGCTAGAATTCAGGTCCTGAAGCATGGTGGGGAAAATCCTCACCCCGCTGATGACTCTGCGGCCTTAATGGCTTCATTACAGTCTAGTTTATATAGCATAATCTCTCACCACTTTTAGTAAGGTATACTTTCACATCCATCTCCCTAGGATGATCCCGCAATGCATTCGCTGTTACTCTCTGTCCTCAGCCCTGTCAAGTTGTCTTTCCTATGTAAACAGACTCTCGAGGTGTTTGTTCTCCTTTGTCTGGTTTCTTTCACTTAGCATATGTCTGCTGCTTAGCTATGAATAGGCATGGAAATTCACACACAACTCTTTGTGCAGACGTGTGTGTGTGTGTGTGTGTGTGTGTGAGAGAGAGAGAGAGAGAGAGAGAGCGCTCATCTGGGAAGTGAGAAACTTGTGTCTGTAAGAGGTTAACTAACTCGCAGGCAGCCACTCTGCCCTGACAAAGCCAGCATTTCAACCTAACCTGCTTCCACAGCCCATTTCTACCTTTCTACCACAGGATGAGCTCTGGTTGGGTGTTTACCTTCTTGAACAAAGATGGGCGTGGTGCACGGGAGGATCCTGCAGTGGCCTTTCTTCTAGTCCAGACTGTGGTCTTGTAACAAATCAGGTGGATAACGGGTCCTCGGGCCAGGGAAAGCGGCTAGTCCTTTTGTCACGCGGTTCAGGGTGTGAGGCCCGGAAGTGATTCACGTGACTCATTCATTCTCCGAGTTTGAGTAGAGACTTCAGTCTAGACTTAATGAACGTGGCAAATGAGCAAGCTGGCCGCTGTTAAGAGGCCCGCGTCACTCAGACTTTGACAGCCTTGCAGTTCTTTGGCCAGCCACAGAGATTTTTACTTCCTTCTTGCCTCTGAGTCAGCAAGTAGTTTCTGAAATCACATCTGCTAACAAGTCAAGGCGACCTCTGCATGCGCTGCTCCCGTCGCCTGGTTGTGTATTATCTGTCAAAACACCAGCAGCTGGGCATTCAGACAGAGTCTATTAAGACACGGGGAATGACATCGTCAGATTGAGAAGATGGAGTAAAAATGTTCGCTTTCTGGATTTGCCTGTACTAGGATTTTTAATAAAAGCCCGTCTTGTCTCATTCCTGTCTGACGCTAGGGGAGGTATGCTAGGGTAAGCAAGCACAGAGCCTGGCATTTCCTCTCATTCATCCTTGACACCAGGGGCTGTGTCTCGTCCAGCTTTGTCCTCCCACGGAGCATGGCGTGATGCCTTGTAACGTCAGACCTCCCTCGCAGCATTCCTAAACTAGGGCAATCAATCAGTCTCGCGGTGGTGCTCTCTACGCACCTTTCCTTGATCCAGCTTGATGCCTACGCTGCCTCCTTAATTACCTGTCTAATGTGCTTTCTTTGCTAACTTAAAGAAAAAATGGCGTTTTGCCATTTCATTGCAAATAAGACAACAGCAATACATTTCTGTGTGGTTATTTACTTTTGCAGGGCTTTGGATCAAATCCAGGGACCATTGCATGTGATAGGAAGTACCCGGTTACCGAGCTAAATCCTTGTCGTAAATCAGTCTTTAAAAAATAATTTTAATAGCTGGGTGGTGGTGGCACATCCCTTTAATCCCAGCACTCGGGAAGTAGAGGCAGGCGGATCTTTGTGAGTTTGAGGCCAGCCTGGTCTACAAGAGCTAGTTCCAGGAAGGGCTCCAAAGCTACAGAGAAAACCCTGTCTTGAAAAACCAATAATAATAATAATAATTTTAATTACCTAATCTATGTATGTATGTATGTATTTTATGTATGTGTTACGTGTTTTGAGACAGGCTCTCACTGGGAAGCCTAGGCAGTCCTTGAACTCCTAACTTTCCTGCTCCCTCCTGAGTGTCAGCTTTATAGAAACATGCCACTCTACCTGGTCTCAAACGCATCTTTTCTAATCTTTATTTTTATACCCATACTGCTAGCATTTAAATCCCAGGCCTCATCCATACTATACTAGCACTTTACCACTAAACTACACTTCCCCGGCTCTATCTGTGCATTTTCGAGATGGCTGCTGGCTTATGGGCTGACCCAAGGGAAGAAACAAAAAAAGTTCGAGGCTGTCAATTACTGTGCAAGAAAACCCGCTTTCCGTAGCAGATTCAAAGAGACCTGACTCACAACCTGCTGCTTGATGTCTCACTACTCACCTCCTCCTCCATTTGAAAGGCCATTGCTCCGTCCTCATCCACTCCAGCATCTGCTCCAGGCCTGAGTGAGAAGCAAGGGTTCAACACAGACCTCTTGTTAGACTGACGGCTGCTTTGGCCTGTCAAGAACAAAACTCATTCAATACGGCTTCCCAGATTTCTCCTAAATTCTCCGCCTTTATTCTAGGCGGTGGAGGAATAAGGATGGCAAATGGATGATTATTTTTACTCTTCCCCAAGTGGAGTCACTGATTCATTCAGCCAACATCTTGACTGCTTTTTAAAGGTCATCTTTATTTTAAGGTAGTACAAGTGTCTATGCTTCAAAACAGGAGAAATTCATTGACAAATAACAAGGAAGCTGGATATGGTGGTACACACCTGTAATCCTAGCACTTGGGAGGCTGCAACAGAAGAATTATAAATTCAAGGCTAGCCTGTCCTACACAGTAAGACCTTGTCTTTTTGTTTTTGTTAAAAAAAGAAGAAGAAGAAGAAGGAAGAAAGAAAAAAAAGGGAAAGTGAATAAGTCAGACAGTGGTAGCATATGCCTTTAATTCCAGCATTGGGGAGGCAGAGGAAAGTGAATCTCCAGGTTCAAGACCAGCCTGGTCTATATAGTGAGTTCCAGGACAGCCAGGCTACACAGAGACACCCTGTCTGGAAAAACAAAACCAAACAAACAAATAATAACAAAACAACACAAACCAAACAAAACAATAACAAAAAAGTGAAATAAAAATTAAGTACCAGGCTAGGCAGTGATGGTGCACGCCTTTAATCCCAGCACTTGGAAGGCAGAGACAGGTGGATCTCTGTGAGTTTGAGACTAGCCTGGTCTACAGAGTGAGTTCCAGGACAGGTTCCAAAGCTACAGAGGATCCCTGTCTCAAAAAACCAGAAAAAAAAAATTAAGTGCCAATTTTCATAATATTGGGCAGTATGGTGAAAGTAACTTGGAAGATTTTGTTGTTAATGTGATTGGTGATGGGATAATAATATATTGGTATTTGTGAGTTATTGTTTTTAGAAAATTGTATTGGTGTTGATTTTTGTACATTGATGGTATTTGTGAGTTATTGTTTTTAGAAAATTGTATTGGTGTTGATTTTTGTACATTGATATATTGAATATTGTATGTGAGTATGCTTCTACCTCTATTTGTATTGACATATATACAATATTTACATTCCTACCTCTGATTAAGATATTTATACACATTGTTTACCTTTGGAGGTCATTGTCCTCACTCATTGCACAGTTGTTCATTCTCTTAGTCTTCAAGTTAGATAGATAAAAATCAATAGTCATATATGTTTATTATATTTAGGCTAATCAGGTTATTTAGGTACATACTTAGTATAGATAGTATAATCTTCAACCTCTTCAAAGAGCTATGGAAAATGGCCTTTAATCTAACTCATAGTTCTATAGTAGTGAGACACAATCAATCCTGGCATCACCGCTCTACTCCCGAGAGAACGTTGAGCACCAAAGACACTCCACATGGAGCTTGTCTTCTTCCTGGCAGAACTGGCCTTTGGGCAAAGAAAAAGCCCATACCTCGACCACTGACAGAATTACAAAATATCCGTAAATGGATAAAAGCAGGATTGTCTTATCTTGCCAAGACAGGGTGAGAGAGTCCTAAAAGGTTTCTTGCCTTTAAAAAATGGCATGTCAGTTACATCAGGCCTTAGCCAAAATTGGTTGACTCAACATTGCATACGAGACTTTGGGTGATTGCCCAGGTATTCAGTTGTCTTTTCCATTCGTTGCACATTTCGGAAGTTTCCCGCTTGTACTTCCGGGCTGCTTGAGTAAGATTATTTTCCTTCTCAGATCTTTGGCTCCTGCATCCGGACGGATACTTTGGATTCTGGTGTAAGCTGGTGTAAGTCTTACTTCTGTTTATTAAAGTTGTATATTTTGTATTAAGATAGTCTGGGGACTTTTCATTACCGATCGCCCTGCGGCTTCATTAATGTTGTTGCTGGTTTTTTTTTTTTTTTTTCTAAGACAGAATTTCTCTATATCCCTCTGGTTGTAGTGGAACTCACAGAGGTTTGCCTACCTCTGCTTCCTGGGTGCTGGGGTTAAAAAAGTGTACCACCATGCCCAGCCCAACTTAAAAGATTATTAATGGTCATTTCTCTGTGTAGCCCTGACTTTCCTGGAACTCACTCTGTAGATCAGGCTGGCCTCAAATTCACAAAGGTCTGCCTGCCTCTGCCTCCTGAGTGCTGAAATTAAAGGCGTGTACCACCACATTTTTGTTTTTTGTTTTTGTTTTTTTTTTTTTGTGGGGGGTGGGGAGTGCTGGTTTTGGTTTTCCGGACAAGATTTCTTTATGTATCTCTGGCTGTCTTGCTAGTTATTGTTTTAAGAAAATATAAAAATTAAAGCTGACGGTATAATTCAGTTGCAGAAGGCTTGCCTAGCGCACATAAGACTCTGAGTTCAATCTCCAGTTTGTAAATAAATAAAGGAAAGGGCTGGGGCTAAGATCAGTGGCAGAGCCCTTGTCTGGTACACACGAGGGCTGTATAGTCTGATAAATACTACAAAAAAAATGAGTAAGTGCTATACTCTTGATCTACGGCTGACCCCCAAAGGTTCATATGCTGCGGGCTGAGTGCTCGGTATTTAGTGTACTGAAAGGTGAAGAAATCCCTCAAATATGTAGCCTGGAGGAAGTAATGCGGTCATTGGAGGCTTGACTTTAGAAGGGATTAACGCCATCCCGAGGGAACTGGTTAGACCTTGGGGAGGCTGGACTAGTTACCAAGAGGTGGATTACTGTGAAGAACCCACACCCCCCACCCCACCAACACCTCTGCTTGTTCCTCTGAAGGCGCTGTCCCAGCTCTCAGTCACACTCTCTGAAGACACAGTGCAGTGCAAGGTCTGTGATGATTAATCTGGACTGTCAGCTTGACGCCATTTCAAATCAGCCGCCAAACACGGCTGTGGGCATGTCTGTGAAAGACTATGGAGATTAAGTTAGCTGAGATGGGGAGACACATCCGAAGTGAGGGTGATGGTATTCCAGGGGCCGGAATTCTGGACTGAATGCAACGGAGAAACTGAGCTGAGCACAGGTTGCTTCTCTCTCCCTCTCCCTCCCCTTCTCCCGCACTCCCACCATGTGAAATCGCCATATGATTCTGCTGCCACACCTTGCCACAGTGGGCTGTGTCCTCTAGAACCATAAGCAAAATAACCCCTTCCTCATGTAGCTTTTGTTAGGTATTTAGTGGTAGTTACCACACAAGCGACTAAGAAGTCCCCACCAGATCTGGCTACTCAAGCTTGGACATTTTAGCCTTAAAAGCTATGAACTCAAATAAATCTCTTATGCTTTTAAAGTTTTAGACATGGGCATTTTGTGTGCCCAACAAAAAGGACAAAGTCAGGAAACATAAAGGACTTTGTTTGGTGGGTGTGGGTGCACACACACACACACACACACACACACACACACACACACAGATTTGGTGCCTGTGGAGGCTGGATGAGGGTGCCAGATCCCCTGGAGCTGGACTTTCAGGTGATTGTGAGCTGCCCTCTGTGAGTGCTAGGAACTGAACTGGGGTCCTCCGCAAAAGCAACAAGTGCTCTTAATTGCTGAGTCATCTCTCTAGCTCCCAGGAAATTGCCCTTAAAGGCCTCCATAGGATATGGTAGGCTTCCTATAGTTCACAAATCACAAGGATGTACCTTTAACAGTTCCACCAACCCATGACATTCCAGAATATGGGTGAGATGAAACCATGAGAATTATAAATTTTAAGACATTTCAGATTAGCATGCAACCTGCAAATTTAACAATGTATTAATGGTTTTATAATTATAAAGTCCTATACTATTGTGTATGACCAGCCATGTTAGCCAGTGGATTTAAACCCCCTTTAATTACAAAAAGATGTATACTATTTAAAAAATGAAGCTGGGTGGTGGTAGCACAAACCTTTGATCACAGCACTTGGGAGACAGAGGCAGGCAGATCTCTGAGTTCAAAGCCAGCCTGGTCTACAGAGCAAGTTCCAAGACAGCCAGGGCTGTCACACAGAGAAACCTTGTCTCAAAAAGCGAAAATAGGGACCGGAGAGATGGCTAACTGGTTAAAAGCTCTGGCTGCTCTTCTAGAGGACTTGGGTTCAATTACCAGCACCCACATGGCAGCTCACAAGTGTCTATAACTCCAGTTCCAGGGAACCTCAGTGCCTCACACTAATACCCATAAAATAAAATTAAATAAATTATTTTTAAAAAAAGCAAACAAACCAGGGGCTGGAGAAATAGCTCTGTGGTTAAGAACACTGGCTGTTCCTCCAGAGGACCTGAGTTCAATTCCCAGCACCCACATGGCAGCTCACAGCTGTGTGTAACTCCAGTTCCAGACCTGCCATCATCACCATACAGACATGCATGCTGGCAAAACACAGTTCTCATAGCATAAAGATAAATAGGTTTTTAAAAGAAAAAACAAAATAAATAAGTAAGTAAGTAAATAAATAAAAGCATTTTTTTTTTGTAAAGCATTCCTTTAAAGCTAGGAAAAACAATTGTTAACAAATTAGACCACGGGTTAACTTAGAAACTTTTAGAGGGAGCTGGGCAAAGAAGTGAAAATGCTACCAGGAAAGAGGCAATATGATTAATAAAGAACCCGGTAGGAAAGATCAACACAAATCCAAGTATCAGTCTTTTGTGAGCAAAAAAGAAAACAAAGCTAGTGATATCATCCCACAGTGACATGTGACAAAGTGAGGAGCCTGGACCAAGGTGACCCTTTACTTGATGGCTTGACTTTACTTCCCTGGGACCTACGTCAAAACCAGATTGACAGTGCATGCTATTATTCCAGAAATGCCATGGCAGGCTCAGAGGTGGAGACAGAATCCCACAGACGCTCTCAGGCCAGCTATTCTGGAGTATGCCATGCAGCAACATGCAGTCAGTAAGACACCCCTCAAAATACTGAGGGAGCTGAGGACTGATGCTTGAGGGGTTCCTCTGAGCTCCACAGTGTGCTGTGGCATGGCTACATTCTAACACAGACACACCACACAAACACAGACACAAAAATACATAATAGCATTTTTTAAAAAAGAGG